ATATTGTAATGTTTGTGGAGTATGAATTCTATGTTTTGTAATTAATTGGTGTGTTATGTGTTAATGTCCATTGTCTTCTGAGTATAAATAGTAAAGAATATTTGCATGTCATTAACGCAAGCCTATGAGACATATGAGACTATGCAAGAAAAGCACTTGTTACATCTTACATGAAGGAGGCCCAACAAAATGGTACTAATCAAATACTGATTTACGTCTTCCATCACACAGTGCCTTGTCTGACCCTTGTGCTAGATTAGGGGAGTATTATTTTGTACAAGACTACTTATTGTATTTAATTATCAGTACTGAATTTTTAATATCAATCCATCTGATTGTCCCAAAAGTTTTTTGTCAGTTTGAGTTTTATTTATCAAAAGAGTTTTATTTATCACAGGTGTCAAGAGCGGCTTTATAGCCCTGTCCTCTTTGGTGATAGATTATGATTTTATTATTCAGCCACAGAATTATTTATATTGCCATATAATAGCCTGGTTATGGTATCCTGGTTATGGTACCCTGTTTGGCTCCACCCTACAAAAATAAAAAATGGATGGGAAGTATGATGGATTTATCCAAAAGTAAGGTATTTTCAAGTGTACCTCATTGATCATAGGGCAATGGTATTTTTAATAAAGATCAGAAAATTTATACTGAGATTATTACTGACGGTAGTCACCATCACTTTACAAAGGTTCCTAAATTGTTCCTATGTCTAAGTCACCCTGTACCCATTATAGGTGCAGGGTGTTTATAATGTGTTTGTATATTGTTAATTGTTTTGTGTGCTCTCCTGTCCTGCTGATGCTTGTTACCAACTTGTGGATTTGGCTATGGAGCCTGTAAAGCACCCTCTGTTGGTAGCATCAGCAATATGCACTACCTGAATATCAAGGCTAGTTGTAACGGATCACCTAGCACTTCAACTGGGCACCTCCATTGACGGATGCTTCCTATCTGATGTGGAGGACTATAAGCACCGCACTGGACACCACAACCACCGCAGACTCCACAACCTTTGTATCTTAACTGGAATCTTGCCATCTTCCCTCCACCCTGGATCAACCTCTGACATCCAGGACCATGTGGGAGAGACTTCTCCACTAGGAGAGCATAACAGGAACAGCTCTTAAAATAGCTAAGTGATTAGAGCCCAGGGGAGTATACAAAGTATAGCAATCCCCAGTGTGATTATAGTAGTTCCCCTCCAATCACGAGACAAGACTACGTGTTGAGGGTCAAACAGGAACATCAGATCTGAGGGTTTATTGAACAGCTTGGTCTTTTATACAGTTTTTCCCACAAGCTTACCACCCAGGTGGACCTTGTGGAGCACAGGGACACAGGAACAACAAGAAAATAAAAACATAGTTTTACAATCAGTCACTCCCATACAGTGTACACAATCCCTACCCTCTGCCTGTGATATAATTAACAAAGACAATGGACAAACTCAATTAACTCTAAAAAGAAAAAAAACATACATTTTCACAAACCCCAAAAAGTACCCCAAAATACAACATATCCCCTGATACCCGATCTGGGTGAACAACATATCCCCAAATCACCCAGATCGGTTTAGGGGTTCAGGAAATTCCTGGAAGTCTTATTTTTGCCCCACCGTGCACATGGTCCCATGCCCAAATCAGTTCCATACACTCAACGACAATTTAAGATGGCCGCCACATGTTTGAATCTGTTCCAGTTAAAAGTCCAAGGGGCAGAAATAGTACTTTTGAACATGGGTTATCACAGTGCCCATAGACCCAGGGAAGGAGGCTGGCAAACAGGTCCCTCCAAAAACCAGTGGCGAAGTTGCCTTTGTCACACTAGTTAATTTGCATATTCAGGTAGATTTGTATATTGCTAAATCTACAGGCAGGAGAGAGATTTTGTGTTAGTTATTGACTTCCCCACCCCTTTGTAGATATGTTATTGTGTTATTATAAAGCCCTTTATGTTTTCTGATATGTTTTGATTATTTGTATTTTTATTTAATTGTCACCATAAGTTATATGTAAGGAGCATTTGGGCCAGTCCCAAGAAAAAATAAAGTTTTGTATGTTAGTTCCATTTGGAACATAATCCTGTGTGGATTTTTAGGGATCCCAACCACAAAGTTGTCTTACCTATTGGCTGGCTGCATGATACCTCTAGCCCTGGGATAAATCAAGAGAGCTAGCCCTGAGAGCAGCATGTGCCTTTGTAAAGGCAATAGAAATCAAATTGCAGGCAGAATTGGATGCCTGCCTGAAAGAAGGGCTGTAGTGGAATATGCAGAGGAGACAATACCTGCCTGGAAGAAGAGCTGCAGAGGAATAGGCAGAGGGGACGATACTTGTCTGGAAGAAGAGCTGCAGCCTGATCCAGTGAAAAAGCTCCAGAGGGACCCCAGTCAAGCCATGGCGACTGGGGCATAAACGCCGTACGTTTTCCCCAGTTCCAACTAGGAAGCGATCCTGGGTGGAGGTACCCACCCGGGGTACAGGGAGCTCTACTACAATTAAATTTATAAGCAAGTTAACTAAAATCTGTGAAATTAATGTATTGCATTGGTAAACTGAAAGCATTTTGCTGGAAGATCCAATTAGAACAAATTTCAGCAAAATGACCAAAAACAGGATATAAATAAATAATATACTAATTTAACAAAGAGAGTGTGTTGTGTAAGTAATCTCTTCCTATCAATGTTTATCACTGTGAATTAAAGCAAGAAGTTAGATTTTTGCAGTTAGAGGTTAATTATTAACTGTAGAACCCAGTACTGAGGACTGATATTTTTCTGTCCTTATGCTGTTCACGCTGTGAAGAAGGGGACGACAGAGATGGAGATGGATAGATGAAGTCACTGAAGCCATGAACATGAAGTTGTTGGAGCTCACAGGGGCAGTGACTGACAGATGTACCTGGCTTGCAATGGTCCATATTGTCACGGAGAGTCGGACACGACTGAACGACTAAACAACAAATCTTTGTAAAACATTTCCTCTAAGCGTGTAAATTGCAAGAAATAACTGATTAGGACATCCAGCGTCAGCTATTTCCCTCTAGGAAAACATTGATTCAATGCTTTCCTATAGGGAAGGCCTAATGCGCGACGTATGTGCATTGGTGCCCGCTCGTCATGGGACAGAGGAGGAGGCACAGCTGCGACACAGCACCGATGGTCATCAGTGCAAAAATAAGGTTAGTAAATAAAGGGTTTTTACCCTTTATTCACTGACTGGGAAGGAGTGAGTGAGAGGGCTATACAGGTATACAGTTTTGTATTCCTGGCACTTATATTATCCCTTTAAGACTGCCCCTAGAGGTGCTTCCTTTTTAGCTCTGTGAAACAATGCTGGACATCCTCACACTTTGCATGAGGACATCCAGTGTCTTCTAAATCCCCATAGGAAAGAATTATATAGGATCCCACAGGATTATAAGTGTGCATTTTCTGCTGTCGTTTTTTTTACTGTTAATGTTGAACACGAATTAAGAAATGCATTTAAAGAAATGTCTGCTTAATTTATATATAATTGATGACTGTATTAAATCTACGCTTTTGCCCTCTTTATTTACAGGCCTACCATATTGTCGAATATAAAATAGAGGAACGGTAAGTGGGAATAAAAGTGCTTAAAATCGTGCAGGCTAGCCACTCCAAAATAGGGATCACTCCCAATCCCAAACAGTACAATCCAACAAATTAGTATAGTTAAAAAACATATACCACCGGGGGCGCCACAATCACACACGTGTAATTATATTTACCAAATGGTAGACACAAGGTATCATGTAAAGAGATAAAAATGGAACAGTATATAGTGAAGTATTTAATGGTACAAATACAAATATTAAAAAAGATAAAAAATACACTCACAAAAGTATTGGCACAATAGGGACATATGTCTAAATTGTGCTATAAAAGCTTGTCAGCCCCTTGGGCTAAATACCCTTTGTACAGTGGATCCGATTTCTCCAGATTCAGTAATGGTCAGTCCTTATTCAGCTGGAGTCCAAATCTGTCCAATAAATATCAATAGGGGTGTTTAAGCTGCTCGACGCGTTTCGTCTCACCGACTTTCTCAAGAGCTGTACATGGCTTCTTTCTTCCGGCTTTTTAAATCCTGTGTTTCGCGCGTTCTTTTCATTGCGCGCATGCGCATCGCGGCTGAAATGTCCATACCCATAGCCGCGCGTGCGCATGTGTTCCACCTTGGAACGCAAACAACTTTATTGGCACAAATTGCCAATAAAGTTGTTT